GAGTATCAGCTGAAGCTAGGAAAATACACGTATTTGAAGGGGAGAGAGACTGGCTTTATAGACGTATGAATATACACATAAAAACACATCTAACCCCAGGTTTTCTGTCATGTTGCAGACTGTGACATGGCTAGGTTTAGATCTACGCCACATGTATTCATGTCACATGAAATGCATCATACACAAGCCTCCCAATAAAGGGGGGTTCCCAGGATGTAAGAGAAGACCTGAGACACCTCGTGAGGTCTGTTCAGGCAGTCAGCAGCCCACGGCAGATGCGCACAGAAGACTGGGGGATGTAAAGCCAGGTTGGCTGGTGATGCCCCGTCCAACCTCTCTGGTTCCACGCAGATAGCTATCAAGTGGCAAAACACACACTCCCTATCCCATTCCCCTCTGGTTTATCTGCGCAAAGCAACACAAAACCATATGCAGGCTTTCACTGTCAGTGTAAGCCATATTATTCTTGTAATTAAATCCAGGTCCACAGCCTATTTGAGAGCTCCTCTTCTTCCCTCCCCACCCCACCCCCCCAGCCCTTTGCTCCCCTCACCATTTGCCTCTCTCCAACCTTGTTTGGGTTTACATGCTGTGTCATTAAATTCCAGAACAGTAAACGCTGCAGCCTCTCTCTCCAAGTACTGACATGCTGCTTTCTCGGCTGAAAATTAGACATGGGGTTAATTTCATTCCTGCAAGGACTCTGCCTTTTATTTTTCTTTGCGTCCAACTGAAAGGATGTTTTTGGCAGATGCTTAGTGGAAAAAGATTATGTTTGCTCTCTGCTTCCTCCCTACACTCCCCCCTTCTCCACTCTCACCCATCAGCCATAAAACAACACAGTCCAGCCAGATCCCAAACTGAAAGCAAGACAAAGCACCCACACAGCCCCCACTCCCATTCAGCAGAAATGGGCCGCTCCAGGGTAGCCCAGGATCTACAAGTAGGCCAGACAGAAATAAACAGAGTAAACAAAGAGTATCCTGTCCAAGCAGAGAAGGACTAAAGAGCGTGATGTCTTTCATTAAAATGCAAGGCAGGGATACAAGCACACAGCCAGTCAAAAGCATCACTGGAGCTTGCTAGGAGTAATAGGAGAAAAGCAACACATGATCGTGCCATTATAAGGACCCAAAGCACATCACTCGACTGTACACGGGGCACAACTGCATATCCCGCCTACCGAGCGCCAAACCAAGGCAGCCAACCACACATCGACCACCACCCCAAAACACCAGAGACGCCAGCCCCAAGGCTGCAGCAGCACAGTGCTGCTCTCCGGAAGGCTGAGTGGGGAGCAGTGCACACAGGTAGAGTACCAGGCGACCAGAGCCATGCAAATGTCAGAGCCGATGACATTTAAAAAACAGCATAGCTGCCTTTTTAGAAAAGGGATGGGAAAGGGGGAGAAAAGCATGGCACAGCCATAGCAACAGGTCAAGTGTTTGCCGCGGTTCTTTGGGAGGAAGGGTAACGCGGCGCGTGTGCCTTCTCAGTTTTCAGAGCATTTGTCACGTAATAAAATCATTAGCCTGGGAATGAATAGGAGAGTTTTGTTTAGTTTTTCTGCAACCTGCTGCTCTGAAGCCCATGCAGATCCATGTGTGAAAGTCCATGCTGTGTATACCCTTGTGTCTCCCATTGCATGGCTATCGCAAACAAACCTCATGTTTTTCCACAGACTGGTAGGAAAAATGCAGTATGTGGGGAGGTGGGGCAACAGTCAGGAGTTTCTAGCAAAACAGCGGTCTGTCTGCTGCAAGTCTGCTCCATTATTGGGAAAATTGAACATGCTGCTGTTTTTTAAACAGCCTAATCATATTTACTATTACATCAGACTTACCCACCACAAATTGTTCTCATGCAACAGAAGAATTTTTAATCTAATATCTTTGACTCAGATAATTTCCCAGCTGCAGAACTGCAATAATTTCCTATCTTCTCATTTTTGAGATAAGCCGATTAACTTGGATATGTTTTAGTTTCAGGGTGCGATTATCTCCCTTTATTGTACTTGAGAGAGAAGGGGTGACTTACAGTAAAATAACTTTGTTTTCCCGAAGTCAGCTCTTAAAGTCTGCTTCTCTGTGATGGAGATAAGTCTTTCCTGTTGCATTTCCCTTAGCCCCTTAACTTTCAGCACTTCCTCTTCCTCTCTCAAAGACACTATATTAACAGCAACTCATATTTTACTCAAAGAAAATACACTGTTCAAGAAATCACTGAAATAACTCTTTCAAAAAATCTCATGGAGAAGACATTTTCTTGTTTAAAATACATTTGAAAGTTTATTAAAAACCCCACAACCCAGCACTATTGGCCAAATTCTGCTTGCATTGTTCATTTGTTTTCAGGCACACTTACAGAAGAAGAAAAGCAGAAAAAGGATGATAAGGCCTGATGCTCTGTTCACATATACAGTGGAGCAAAACAGGAACCTCTACTCACTTCAGCAGAACCGATTTACAACCAAGTAAGGGAGAAGACAAGCAAATCCTTGAATTTATGCCATTACAAATTGAAAAATACTGCTTACTCCCACAATTCTGTTGAGAGCTTTTGATATTTAATGTTTTTTCCTAAATCCCCAGGACCTAGATTTACTTGATTATGTCAAAGGGACTCCCTCACCTTAAGTTTCTAGCAGTCATATTCTAGGAGGCAAGCCTGAAACCATGAGATGAGGACACTTTTTGGACTGGAAGGCTCTGTACGTTGAAGTGTTTTGACTTCCCTTTCTTTTCTTGGTCTCACAGTTGCACAGGGCTTTTCAAGCTGTGTTGATTTGCAGACCAAATTCAACACTGGAAACATATGAATTACATACATGCAGATTCCCATATTCATTCCTGTTAGTCACCATTCATGAATTCCTCTGAAATAAACATTCATGGGTTGAAAACCGCTAGTCTGATGATTTAGTGGGAGGGCGGCTCGTGCATCTTCCCTGCACATCGGCAATACCAAGAAGGAGCTGGCCTATTTAAAAGGGAGACTCTCTAAAAAACCAGTTCCGTGAAAAGACATGGTTGCATAAACATGCAAGTGCAAGAACTTCTTAACACTATAGATGTAGCAACAGAACAAACAATGTTTTGCTACTTCCTATTAAAAAAAAAGAAAATAACCCCAGCCCCTAAACACCGTGCTCGTGCACAGCTGTGCCACTCGCAGCTAAGCCCCTAAAACCACCCCTGACCTCAGGAAGGTGATGGGCAATCTCTGGTTCTCCCCTGCTGGGGAAGAGAAAGTGGAAGCTGTCCTCTAGTGACTGCAGTGAGAGCACTTGCGTCCCTGAAAACACTTTCGTAGAGAACAGCCTACAGCATAAAAGCAGCCCTCCTATTACTGGCACGTTGCTATGGGCACTATTTCTAAGAAAGCAGCCTCAGGAGCAGATCTAGAAAACATGGCAAAATATATGAGGGAAGAAAGAAAAATTACTAAGAGCCTGGACTCATCCCTGCCTGTTCCTACCAGCAGCAATAGGACTATAAAGAAGATGGACAGTGAAATGCTGTAGCGCTGGACATACAGCCTGGTGGGGCTTGTGGTTTTGCATTACTCGGCTCTGTTTCAAAACCCTGTTTGGAATTATTATTTCTTGGTACTCCAAGATACAATTTCTAAGCTACCTTTAATTTATTCTTTTCCTAAAACTTAGTAAAATCAAGTTTATCTTTTCTTCATTAGCCTGCTTTAAGTGAATTTAATGAATGCAATTCTGGTAATGAAATTTGCCTAACAGATCATAGGTAACAGTTTGTAAAACTTCCCATTTGTACACTGGTGCAGGGCAAGCCTATCTACAACGTATCAAAGTAACTGAGTCTCTAGGCACCTTTTCCTACAGCAAGTGTTAGCAGGTGACTAATGATAACTGGATTTTGTCGCCAAAGAGCTACAGAATGAGTAGCTTCATGCCATCCAGCTGAATTGAAACCAGAAGAGTGAGGGTGAACTGGTCTGTATTCCACACCACCAGCACCCCCTGTATGTTAAAGTCACCCTGTCAACTCCAGTTCAAATTAATCAAGAGCAAATCAAGTCTACCTTTTATGCTATTTTCTAAATGAAATCAGATCTACATGTAAAACTCATATTTAAATGGGTTTTACCTAATAATGAGTCAGATATTGACAGAACAATCACCATGAAGACTAAGGTAAGAGGCACTATATTCTCATTAATAACTCAAATCTCAGCATGGATATTGATAACCATGCACTTAAAAGAGGAAATTGGGCAGCAGCTGGAGTTAGCCCAGATTTCCTGAAAAAGTTGCTGGACTGCAACAGAGACACACTAGAGAGATTTTACTGTAAGATTCAACCAGAGAAATTGCAGCTCCTCATTATTAAGAGATCTTGGACCCTCAGAACCATTACTGAAATTGAGCAAGAAACAAAAATACAGCATTAGCAGACTAATGAAAGGGCATGGGTGAGAAAAATAAGGGAACAAAATCTGGAGGCAGAATCCCAATACTTCCCCTTCCTCCCTCCTCCCAGTCCGAATATTAGGGGGACAGAGCAGCAGCATTCAGTGGTACCTAATTCCAGTTACTGCTTAGGAGCAAGCAACATTACAAGCTTTAAAATAAATTTGTACAATCAGCAAAAGCACAAACAAACAGAGAGGTCGTAGGAGCCAAAACCACTCAGAACAAACCAGTTGGGGCTAGTTAATATAATCTGCTCTATTCACATAACTAAGTTTGTTTCACTGAGGGCATGAACTTTCTTGGAAAAGCTCAAGTAATTAACTGCAGGAGCTTACACATTTTCTTTCCCTCAAGTTTATTTTACCCTGAAATTAAAGCTGCTTGCAAACAACTGCTTCTACCAATTCACTCAAAAAGCTGAATTTTGCTTGCTCTTTCCAGAGGCAGATGCTTGAAGAGACTGTACCATTGAAGTGTAGGATTCCCTTCAATTCCTCTTACCTTCTGTCCACTCTTCCCAACACTTTGGATAGATACAAAGAAACCCGTATCTTACCTCACTGAAAAAGAGCAGGTTTCCAATGAAAGGAAGAGGTGGAGGATGCCGGATCCCTACTTTGCTTAGTTTGGAGAATGCAGACGTGGAGTACCTGGAACAAATAAGGTAGTAAGTTAATTTTGGATCTTGTCATGATAGAATTTACCATAGTAATTACTTCTGATGACTTCCCTGGATTCAGAGAGGGAGAAGGTGCTTTCTGTGTTGGCCAAACAGTACTGCCAATGTGGTGACATTGCTTAGCAGCTCCTCTGGTCACAGAAATAAACACAATACTCTGGTGCTTCAGAGAGGGCAAAAGAATGAAGGGACTCAAACATAGGCCTGCAAATTGAGCAGTGGAAAGAGAGCTGCTCCTCTTCCCACAGAGGGTGTTGTAAGTCAGAAGTGACTCTTCAAAGCTACATGAGGTTACAAATGAGATCAAAACAGGCATTTGGGGTTTGACTACTGTGGCACAGCTGGGAAAGGAACAAGACAGATCTTCAGGCTATTATTTTCTTCTTCTTCCATCACCGCTACCTATACAGATCACAGAACAAGAATTCAAACTAGTCTCAGTTGTGCATGAGCCAAGACACTGTCAGTAAGTTCAAGTCAAGCCTAGTATTTGGGCCAGATATGCTGATTAAGTGATTTTGCAACTGCCAGTCAGCAAATTAAACAAATATAAAAAATAGAGGGAAACAAAACCCAGACAGAAAAGCTTAATGCATCCCTTGTTTCAGATGAAACTGTGGCATGTTGACAGGGACAATACTGGGAAAAAAAAAAGAAAAAGGAAAAACCCAACCCTGAAGTCGTCTTTTTTTCCTCCCCTCCCCCTTTCTTAATACAAACAATGGATTTAAGTCAGTGAACTTCAATTAGTGAAATCTGAAAGAGCAGGAGCTAACAGCAGCAGCTTTGATTAACCAAAGACAGTAATACTGAATACTATCATGCTGAACACTATCACTAGAAGGACCAGGGCAAAAGATCTTTAAGATTAATAAAGTCTATGTCTATATTAATACCTTAGCTCAGAGCAATAGTATAGTTTCAAAGCTCTCCCTCTGCGTGATGGTTCTGTGTCTGGGGCAGTTTTGGCACATGCAACCACACTTTTTTGAGAGGAAACTGAACTTGAAGCTCTCCTCCAATCTTTCATCTCTTACCAGGGCAGGTCTGAACTAATAAGCAGTCCTTCAGCTTTGAACCCCAAGTGCAGTGAGACTGTTTAGTCCTGGGGAGCAAATTAAATCTAGCCCAAAATAAAAACTGTGAACTGCATATAGGGTAGGGGTCACAATATCAACTGCTTTAGTCTATCAAGTCTGCAAGTCATCTGAATGGCAGAGAGAGACAGCAGAAGCAATGCTCTCGGATCCCAGTGGGCTGACTCCTTCAATGCCAGTGTACAGCCTTGGACCTCTTCTCCTTCAGGTCCAATAATTGGCGCATGCCTCATTTGAAACGCCCTCCATGATGCAGGCAGGAATATTCTGATTTAACCTAATGGGCAAACAGCACACAGTTCTTGGGGGTCAGGGAGGAGGCGGGAGAGAAAAGAAGACTTGGTGTCAGAAAATGGTCCCTTCCTCCAGCAGGAGGAAAAGGAAAGGAAAGAATGGTGTTGTGAAATGAAATATATAAAATTAAGATAATTAAATCTCACATGACCAGCAAAGCAGAATGGGACTTAAGTATCGAGTTAGTAGCTTTTTGTACTTCTGTTTCCTGAGATGCTTTCCTGCAGCACAGTACCTGTTCTCTTAATGGGTTTTCTTTTGTGAAGATATTTTACAAAAATCATAATCAGAAGATAGAGATTTGGTAATTTTTAAATAGCAACAATGTTTTTATGGGGCAGTACAAACCTTCACAAACACAAACCCTCTCAACAGAAACAACGTGTCTTCAGTCTATGCAAGGGCACTATTGCCGTATGACAGGGTATTGTGGAGTAAAGGCACAGAAGTCAACGTTTATTACACATTTTATACATATTATTGACTTTTGGGTTACTTAACAGCTTTAAAAAAAAAAAGTTTTTCCTTATTGAAACACCTAATACTCTTGGGGGAAAAAATGTTTTAACTTCAAAATGACAAAACAGCCTACACGATACATTTTCTTCCCCAAAGAGGATTTTTTGCTGTTGCTTGAAATCTTCCTGAAGTGTCTTTGTGTCATAGCAAAGTCTTCATCTTCAGCGTGTAAACAGTGGAAAAGATTAAAATCTCTCTCAATAGAAACTCGTCACTTTTGTGGCATTTTATCCTGGATGTTTTCACTGTAAAATACATGGCAGATCACAAAACACCAGGCTGGTCTACAGTTAACTGCTAATTTTACTGCAGACTGGACACTGTAGACTCCTGGTCTTCACGCACTGCAAAGTGAAAAGTGACTGCAACAGGGCCTTACACTACACAAAGTAAACACTGTGATCACTAAATATTTAAAAAGGAACAAAACTAATGGGTACAGTGCACCCAGTTTCACAAGGCAAGAAACACACAGACTCTGAAGTCTATTTATGCTTAGATGAGCAGTTCATCTTTGTCAGCTTCTGAACATTACTGGCAGCTCCACACAGCTGAGGATTTGCTTTCCTTTTTCCCCTCCTAACACGGTTTTCTCTGCTGCTTTTTATTCAGTTACATTTGAAGTAGGTTTTCAAAAGGTAAGGAAACATGGTTTACAATGAGATGGGAAACAGAAGCACTGTAGTCAAGCTACACACTGAAACAAAACAACGAAAGGGTAGGGCCAGAAGAAAAAAAAAAAAAGAAATCTTATCAATAAAAACATCTAGCTCTACCCTATGATTTCACAACATTTCTGGTATCGTTGAAGTATCCGTAGTTTTGCAGAAGAGAAAATAGTATGCAAGTGCTTAAAGACTGACGGTGCTGCATGCACAATGAAGGAAGATGTAACACTGCACAGGTAACCTTGACTTTGACCATTTCTAATGTAACAGCTTACTTTCTGCAACCTTAAATATTAAGAGCTTTTTTTTTTTCCCCTACCTCTGCAATATTTCAGCTCATTCCCACCATTTCGGGTGGGGGAGAGAAAGGAAGGAGTGGCTTGCAGGCTTCTTAAGAAAAAAAAATTGTCCTGTGTAACACACAACGAACACCAGCAATACATGAATCTGACAGCTTCATGGCACAAACCTTTGCCTTTTCAGCCAGAAGCAACCAATAACTCCATCAGGCTAATTTATGTGATTCGGCTACTCAGCACACCCATGACACACACTTGGCCAGTAACTCAGAGAGCTGTGCGAGAAGCGCACTGGGAAAACGGTGGCTGGGTTTTGTTGATGGGAAGGGGAGGTGGGCTAGAAGCTGGAAGAGTGCAAACAGACAGGGTTGCCTTGTAGGCAGTCACAAGACATTTGTCTGGAGAAGCTGTACATCTAAATGAAACAGTTCCAAGCCTGCCTTATCACCAGCGGGAAGTCTTATTTCTCACTCTGCCGCTTAACACACTTCTGTGTTAATTTATCACAAAAATTATTCTGATTATCAGGCAACCTCCTGCTGTTGCTGTGGGTGCACACTAAGGGTAGAAGACCAGCCAATGGACTAGAAGGCCTAAGTCAAATGCAAAATCTAGAAATAGAAGAGATACTGAGAGGTGACCAAGACAACCAAAGATATGGAACAACTTTTGTACAAGGAATAAGCAAACAGGATATAATCTTAATCCTGGAAAAAGAAGCAACTGATGCAGGATATGACAAACATATTTAAGATCCAGCATGGCTTAGAAAATTCAATAAAAGAATTATTACCCACTATTAAAAAAATAATTAAAATCCACAAAGGAATATTCAGGTGGCAGGATTAAAAATGAAGCACTTTTCCAAGTAATCATATACTAACTATGGAATTCCTTGCCATGGGATGTTGTCTATTCCAGAATCTTAAAAAGCTTCAAAAAGTGATTAAATAAATTAACGAAATGAGAAAAAAAAATAAAAAAAAAAAAAAATCAGCAGGCACTTTGAATTCATGAATTTAACAAATGTAAGAGACACATATGGAAAAGATTAAAGGGAAGGAGGGAAAATTAATCAAATTTCTTTTCCTAAGCAGGGAACTAGTCTGTAAGCTTCCAATGGCAGAATAAAAGATTAGACTGCTGTTATAAAACCTAAAAGATAAAACCTCAGACACTTCAGTTTTCTTGAGAGGAAGAAGTCTTTGTGCAAAGGGAGGGGCACAAAAAAGGATAAAATGCTGATGGCAGCAATATTTACTGGATGGTCTAGCACATTCTCACTCAAAGGAGAAACATATCCTAATATTTACACATGTAGGGCTTCCTGCACAACTATTAATTTAAAAGCCTGGCATTATATTTTGAACAAGTGACAAGACATCAAAAGGAACCAGAGGAACAGCAGTAATGAAGTAGATCAATAAACAATTCAATAACTCTTTGAAGACGTTCAGATGGCCTCTCAGAGCTAGATGCTCTCTGTATATATTAAACACGACTGTTAAAAGAAAGTTAACATGCCAAATACATTCCTGTAGGCCAGCATGGCAGATTTAAGCTCTCTGAAACATGAGCATCTCTCCACAAAACACCATGCAAAAAGTAAGGAGAAAGAGTTAAAATCAACAGATAATTAGCATAAGTTGTGATGGGTATATAATCAACAGAACTAGCCATCTGCCCAGCCAGGTCAGTACTGATCAGCACTGCAAGAAAAAGTATTATACAGTCTACCATTAAGTCCAATCAATTTGTGTAGCAGATAACATTACAGAGTTTCCAATTCTGCATCATAGAGTTCAACATACCATTGAAATTACCCCAAATTTCTCTCAATAGAGAAAGTGCGTCATTCCTTCTACATTTAAGTAGTGCACAACCTAATAATATCTGAAAGCTATAAACTAGGACACTCAGAGATAAAAAAGTGATGTTATTTAATCTCATTGTTGGCAGCTGGGAGGTGTGTTATTTTGGAAGACTGAGTGGGAAAACAAAGTATTTTGCTGAGATAATGGAAATCATTCCTGCCAAACAAGAGATAATCATCATGCATTTTCACCTATTTGCCTCTATTTACATATACCCAAA